GGTTTCTTTGGGCCCATTAATTTACACAGAGTCCAACATCCCTCAAGATCCATTGTAGACAGGGTTAATGACAGAAGGGATAAAATAGCTATTTCTATAAGATGTGTTTGACTTTACTGTGTTTGTGTCTTAAATATAATCTTGAATATATGTCTCGTCAGTAGCTTATAAAGTGAGATATTCTTATATTTAAAAGTATGGGAAATGCATCAAGTACTAAGTCATACTTGTTAGTAATTTATATTCAAAATCAGAAAATCAGAGAAGGAAAAATGTCATTTCAATAAAGAAAACATAAAATAATTTCGAACCCACAAGTTGCTTGTATGTCCTTAAGGAATTTAATCCTCTCATTGTTGCCCAAGGTTATGGATTAATTCCTCCCAGGATAGAGCAGAATAACTATTCTGTGATAGCGGCACTACAAATCATAAAACTTCAGCGAACTCAACAAACGGCGTAAATCACACTTGACACTTACATTTATTAGAAAATAATGCAATAATGTAGAAAAGAGGGGTGAAGTTTTCAGATTTTTTTATGTATGAAAAATGAGACCAAGCCTCTAAATTTATAAACAATGAAAGCGTGAGACGAATAGATGCAATCCAAGAGGTGCCTCTTCTATTTTTCATTCACACCCTTTAAAGAAATACCCAACAATCCCCTACATGAATGGGGAATGGCTATATGATGAAAACATGCATAAAACATTATGTGATTCGCAAGTAAGGATTAATTGCATCTGGATAAGTAGGTTTCCCTTTGAACTTTCCGTAGTGAACTTATATCGGATATACTCGGTCAATCAGTAGATTTGATATTTTTGAACCGTCGAACTTTGGTGTATTCCTAGACAACCATAAGTCACACAATCAATCATTAACCGTCTTTGGTTCTCATTGTTGTGTTCGTTTCAGCCATGAACACCGCCTGATTTCATAAGTGCATAGAGAATTGGCCTTACAAAATCCTCCTTGAAGCGGCTTATACTTCATACCTAAATAGGTGATTTCTAAATGTGTTATCCCATAAATACACTATTTGATATACCCCGTATCAAACATAGAAACCACTAAAAAGCCTTAATGTTTTATCCTTGGTACTTAACATTGTCTTCATCACGAGAATGGACCAAAGTTTTATTTGACAATGTTGAACCGTCATTAATGACTTTGTTTGATCTCCTTGAACCTAGATCTTAGGAACTCCAGTCTTCTAGGTAGAGTTACCGCTACAATGACTTGTCCTCGGCCATAGTCCCATTCCCCTCAATGATCTCTCAACTACCTCTCTAGTTAGTCCTTTTGTAATTGGATATGACACATTATCACTTGACCTCAGGTAGTCAGTTATGATAATTCCCCTAGAGAGTAGTTATCTAACGGTTATATGTCTTCGTTGTATATGACGAGATTTTTCGTTATACATGATGCTCCCAGCCCTTCCTATTGCCATTTGACTATCACAATATATGTATATAGGTGCCACTAATTTGGGCCAAAATAGAATATCTTTAAGAAATTCCTGAGTCATTATGTTTCTTCACCGGCCTTGTCTTAGGCTATAAACTCAGCCTCTATTGTAGAGCGAGCAATGCATGTTTATTTGGATAATTTTCAAGATACCGCTCCTCAGCCTCCACCGACTGTAAAAATATATCCACTTGTGGATTTATACACAGCTAAACCGCTAATCTAATTTGCATCAGTACACCTCTCCATTAACGCGAGAAATTTATTGTAGTGCAAAGCATAATTTTGAGTATATTTCAAATATCTCAAAACTAATTTCATTGTCATTACAGTTCAATGGGAACTTCCTTATGTCATAGAATAATAGGTCTCGACTTTTTATTGCATATCAGATTATTGACTACACTTAATATAGCAATAATATATTATAACAATAGCTGGAATGATTGACGTCAATTGTGGCCACAACCTTTTAACATATAATACATTTCGCAACCACTTCGCCATTTTCAAATATTTGTATGCTATTTATTCATACGTCTATATGATATGCAAATTATAGCACCTTCATTCATGAAATAAATCCAACTTGCAATGAATTTTGGTCATGTTCATCCGTCGGTTCACCATAATATAGACCAGCATATTAATACATCTGTTCATGAACGGTCATGTCCATACAAAAATGTACAAACACATCTTTTCATGAAAATCCACAACCTTCTAGGTGACTCCCTTTCATAAATGTTTCAAGAAAGAATACATCATTTCTGGAAAGGCACGTGAAAAACTTCGAATTGGTAGTTTCATCAACTAGTCATCACTAAGATTGAACAAGTAATGAATTCACCGACTATTATATCAATATCTACTAAGGCTTGGTGGGGTTCAAAAATTATATTATTTAGACATTACGTCTAACATTAGCTTTTGTCATGCATAAGCGAAAATCCCCCACATTTTAAATATTTCATCAGCATATCATACACATATAATCAAATAATAACTATTTGATTCAGAGTGTTCTTAATGTAAACATATTTTCCATACTCATTGATCTTGAAACTATTTGATAATATTGTTTGGTCAAATTTCATATGCCATTATTTTGGGTGCATGTTTCAATTCGTAAAGCAACTTATTAAGTTAGGCACACCTTCTTCTTTTTTCCGGGAAGCACGAACCCTTCAGGTTGTTCCATATAATTTTCTTCCGCTAAATCTCTTTTTAAGAAGGTTGTCTTCACATCCATCTGATGGATTTCAATGCCATACATGGCGGCTAACGCTATTAACACCCGAATAGATGTAACTCTCGTTACCAGCAAGTATGTGTCAAAGTAATCAAGACTTTCTCGTTGTCTAAACTCTTTGACAACTAATCTTGCCTTATATTTGTTAATAGTACCATCAGCTTTCATTTTCCTTTTGAAAATCTACTTAGAACCCAAAGGTTTATTTCATGGAGGAAGATCAACCAATTCCCAAGTATGATTACTTAATATGGATTCTATCTCTCTATTGACTGTCTCTTTCCAATATTATGCTTCCAAAGAAGACATTGCTTCTTTAAACGGTTGAGGCTCATTTTCCAACAACAATATCAGAAAATTTGGTCCAAAGAAAGTAGTTGTCCTTTTACTACGACTTGGGTTTTTCTTATTAACCGTACTTTCCTTTGCTTCTTCCCGAGGTCGGTTAGATTTTTAACTAGACGACTCACATTTCTTTTTACACGGATAAATATTCACAAGAATTTAGCATTATCTGTTCGATTACCGTATTAATAGGAATGTCGAGATTTTCTGATTTATGAACCAAAAAACGATATGCCTTACTAATTGTTGCATAACCGATGAAAACGCAATCAATTGGTTTTTGTCTGATCCTTACCCTTTTGGGTTTTGGAACTTTCACTTTAGTCAAATACCCCCACACTTTAAAATAATTTTTAAATTGGGTTTTCTTCCTTCAATTTTGCATATGGAATGGATTGCGTTTCTGTATGGGGAATTCGATTGAATATTCAGTTAGCTATAAGAATAGCTCCCC